TGCTCTCCAGCTATCACTCTTGTCTTGGCTCCTCTGCAGCAAAACTACTCATAGCATTCTCCCTGCTCAGTCAGCTCACCTTTCTGTGAGAGGACTTTGCTCCAGCCAATGTCACAAAAGCCCTCCTAGTTTGGAGGATCAAATCTGGCCCTCCCCAGACTGGCCTCTCCCAGCACTACCCCCACACCATGCCCTCCACATGGGCACTTCCCTACCTGGCTGGGGGACGCTGCACCCTCTCCTCCCTGCAGGCTGCCCCTCATCCCTCTGCACTCTGAAGGGCAGGGCTTCCAACAAACCTGCAGTGCCCTTCCTCAAGACACACGTGGCACCTGCCAGAAAAGGGCCATAGGAATGCCTGGTGATGCCCTGGGATGGCTTCCACCTTTCAACTCTTTACATTTGCTGGGTGACATCAGTGTTGACAATCCAAGCAGTCCCAAATGTCAATCTTTACCTACCAGCTCCACTTCTGCCCCTGGCTCCCCCCCCCCTTTTTTTTTTGGTACTGGGGATTGAACCAGGGTGCTTTTTATTTTTATATGGTTTTGAGGATTGAATCCAGTGCCTCATGCATGCTATGAGTTCCCAGCCCTTTTTGTCTCATTCATTCATTCATTCATTCATTCATTTATTTTTGGAACAGGGTCTCACTAAGTTGCCAAGGCTGGCCTCCAACTTGCAATTCTGCCTCAGCCTCCCAAGTCATTGGGATAACAGGCATGAGCCACTGTGCCCAGCTCCCCAACACCTCTCTGAATTGTCTAACTGGCATCAACCAACAAGTCTGTCTCAACCTCACACCAACCTGCTCCTCACCTAGGCCCCCCAACTTCAATCACTTCAACTTTGTGGCTCTGCTCACTTCTCCCTCACCTATCTCCACCGACAGCAGATCCTTCAGGTTCTTCCCTCACTGCATCTCTAGCCAACCATTGTCACTGCTTACCCAAACCACCTGGGTCTAAGTCACTCTGGCCTGCTGCAGGTTTTACTGCAAAAGCTTCCTTGAAGCACCCCCTGCCTGCACGCACA